GACCTGAAAGCACTAGTATCAAGCATGATTTATTCTGGTCAGAAAGTTGTGTATGAGCAGCACATGACTAGATTGTGATACCATGTCTGTCAGAACCAGGTTAGGTTATCATCACATGTGGCAGATACTTGCAACTGCAGGCAAGCCTCTCATCCCTGTTTATTCTATATATAAACTCTGAAAATTAAGAGGCCTTTACCATCACATAGTTAAGTGTCCAGTCGTCAGTGACTCTGCCTGGTGAAATGGGGTACTCGTAACTGTGTGAATACTTTATCTATATAGTACTTTCGGATATCCTCTTTGTCCAGCCTAAATTTGCCAGTACTCATTTGCAGCCTAGTGATGCCCCAGCTGTATGCAAGTTCATACTGTATAGAATATATACATATGTATTTGTGCTGCATGACCCTAGTGGGTTTAGCACTTCTTTTTGATAATAAATGTATTTATATGCATGAATATATATGTATTATATATGTATGAAAGTGTCTTTTCTCAAGTGGCCTTTCAATAATTATTATAATAATCAAAACTAAGCGCTAAACCCATAAGGATCATACAGCGCTGGGATTTTCAATAAAAACATTTTACTAAAATATTTCTTTAGGTGATTTACAAGACAAAGCCGTGATGTGTGGATGTATCATATTAAATTTATTCTTTGACAAAATTACAGAATATTACAATCTCAATACATCGAAAATTTCATTTCTGCTAATCATTAAGAATCTTAATGACAAGTGAAGACAGATACAAACTAATTTTAAAATATAATGCCATAAAATGCAGGTTCATATACAAATATCCATCAAATAATAACAGTAAATTTTTAATATTTTTACATAAACATTAATTTAGTGATAACATCCACTGAAGAAATTTTGCATTTGCAAGACCAGCCATGTCATAGTGCACAACAACAATTTCTTTAATCAAACCTATTACCCTGGAATAGTCTTAAAATTCAACCTTCAGAAACATAAAATATTAATACATTTCTACTTTACCAGAAATTCATGTATGTCTTGTGTAAAAAATCTGCAAATATAATTTTACAGAATTATAAATATACTATACCGTATTCAAATATATTGTACACGCATCAACATCTGATAATGTGTCCTATTAAATCGTTTAAACAATTACATAATCAACAATGTGATACAGGTACAGTATTTCCAATTAGTTGATTTAATATTACACACTAAGAAATTTTACAAAGATGAGAAAAATAGTGATAGTCAGAAAAAGAACAAAGAGTATGCCCACAATACATAACCACAGCAATAACCAGTGACACACTGTTTCCAAATGCCTTAACCTACACCTCTAGTTCAACACTGTAATCCCATACATAAAAGATCAACTCTTTATTATTATTACTGTATTATTAAAAACTTGTGCATAGAAACATATATGCAAAAGCATCAGGCAGCACCTACACAATTTCATGTGAAAGTGCAATACCTTTATTATGATAATTCCCAAGTGAACATTTTTATACATTTACAAACATAAATTAATGGAGTTCTATAAATGTATTGCTCGGTCATATCCCAAAAACATTTTAAGTATATTGTCCACTCGAGAGAAAACTGACTAGAAAAATATGGGCAACATACTGCCAGCTGAGGTTAGCTATTACTAAAGTGGCTGGAAGATTGAAACTTCTTAAATATTAAATTTTTATAACTTTTTTTTGTATGGTGTCTTTTTTCTTAAGAGTTAGCAAACCCATTTTTGAGGCATAATTAAAGCATACTCACTTCTTAAACTTCAAAATAACATGCACTATGACTGCAGTGAAAACTGATATCTAAGCTTGAAGAACTCTCCTTTCATTTTCAGGTTCATTTAATATATTTTACTTTTTTTCTTATAGTACAAATATCAGGCAATCACAATATTACAGCTGTACTGAATTAGTCTTAAGACAATTTACTGATGATTAAATATTTGCATTAATGTTAATTTTACTGCAAAAGCAAATAAATGCTTTAAAAACTTTCCCTGCACTTTCTTGTTTATACTAGGCAATATTTCCAAGAATTTTAAAGTTACAACAAATAACAAATGAACCTCTGGCCAAGTTTCCATATTTAATACTTTAGTGTGATGAGCTGCCTCCTGTGTTAATGCCATGTAAAATTTCTTATTTTTTTATTTATTTATTTTTTTTTTGCATTAACAAGCTAAACATATTAAATACATGAACTCTAAAGCCATTTTTTTTATAGTTTTATTACATTTCAGTGCAGCCCTGTATTATGCCGCAATTGTACTATTCTCCCACAATCACTGTAGTATCAGTGCACCACATTTGAGAGCCAATCTAAGCTGAACTGTATCAGACTTTATTAATACGTACATACAAATCAAATGTACAGTGAAACCTCGATTTATGAGTGCCCCAACATACGAGTTTTTGTACAAGAATAGTATGCAGTATCAACAAGATGAAATTAAGACACGTGCATCATCTGGGTATCTTTATTGTAGACATTTCGCCATCCAGTGACTATAAATACAAATTCCAGGACATAATTTGAAGACAGTAGAACTATATACAGAAGATGAAGTAATCAGTCCCTCAGCCTTGGAGTTGGTGCAAAGAGCACCGTAGTTGTTGTTGGTGCTCTTTGCACCAACTCCAAGGCTGAGGGACTGATTACCTCATTTTCTGTATATAGTTCTACTGTCTTCAAATTATGTCCTAGAATTTGTATTGATAAAGCCACTGGATGGCAAAACGTATACAATAAAGATACCCAGATGTTGCACGTGCCTTAATTTCATACGAGTTTTTCGAGATACGAGCCGTGGCTCGGTCAATTTTTTGCTCCGAGTTATGAGCCAAAATCCGCATTACGAGCGAGCTTCCCCCTCAAAGGAGGTTCCTTGACGCTGGTGAGGGGCTCGTGATCTAGGGAATTGTATCTGTGCTCCAGTTCCCTAAATTAAGCCTGAATACCTTCCATCATCCCCCCAGCAAAGTATAATCCTACGGGTTTAGTGCTTCCCCATTATAATAACGATAATGAGCGAGTTCCAGAATGTCGCCACTAGTTGGCGAAGCAAACACCACACCATCTGCTGAGCAGTGCACGTGTTTACCTCCCTTGCGTTTTTCTTGTGTTTTGTGCAGTTATTTTGCCAAATTTCTTTTTTCTAACCATGGGTCCTAAGAAAGTAAGTGCAAAGGACAGTGCTGAGAAGAAAATGATGATGATGTCCATGGAATTAAAGCATGAAATCATAGATAAACACAAGCAAGGTGTCTGGGTTATGGGTTGTAGCATTTACATTGTAGTAAGTAAATCGGTGAAAAGTGAAGTGAAAAAAAATAAAAAAATTGTAGTTGTCAAGTTCAGTGATAAAGTGTAGCATTAAGAGTGTAGCAAGTAAGCTAAGTAATTAAGTGATAGAAAAAGAACAAAACGAACTTCAATGTTGCTGTTGGGGTTTATAGGGCTATTCACAGCATACACTGCTCTGCCAGCATCTCTTCTCCAAGGTAAATATGTACGTACACTTTACAAAACCAGTTTATTTCTTTACATTCTCTATTATGTTTTATTGCTTTTATACAATATTTCTTATTTATAAATACATTGTTTCAGTGTTTTCCTTATGAAACTAGTGATCTAGTACAGTTAGTCTCACAAACACTGTTTTCTCTTATAAGAAGACCTCAGATGGGGAAGCATGGGAAGACATGATCAGAGCGAGAGCGAGAATGGCCGTCACATAATGACATTTTATTCATTCTAGAGTATATACCATGTTTCTATGTTATTTATATTGTTTATTATGTCATATTAGATCAATTGTGATAGATAAATAAGCCGTAGAGTTGATATTAGCATTATATTGAAGTATTTTGTCCTGCCTCCCAAGAGCAGGAATTCCACTGGAACGGATTAATGGCATTTCAGTAAATTTAAATGAGGAAAATTGATTTGATATATGAGCAAATTGAGTCATAAGCTAGGTCACAGAATGGATTTAACTCATAAGTCGACGTTCCACTGTATTAGGCAAGTCCTTGACTAATAGTCAGCTCTCATAAAGCATCTCCACACACTGAAACTTCTCATAAATGAAAATGAAAAAGTACATCAAAAACTGAATAGTTCAACAAAATTTCTTCATAGTACGTGCTATTCAGTTTTTTAAGGATACAATCTCAGCATTTAAAGAACTGTCACTTATGTATCAGAGTATAATACTGTATACTATACATAGGCTGAAAATATCTCTTGAAATGGATTGTCTTATCAAATTCTTTGCCCAATTCAATACACAACAGCAAATAAACTTTGTGGTATGATTAACATGGCAGGTTCAATATAACAACTAATAAATTGTAATGTCAGTCAATATAATGATTGTTTTAAAAATCCTAAAGAATACTGATAACACTTATATTGTAAATATTACTCATATGATCCTCAACTTCACTCCCTCTAAACAACCAACATATTTTTCTACAATTTTAAACTAATTTTAAAATCAAATCAAATTAGATCCTCAGCAGTCTACTTCAGCACCGTAAGAAAAATTAAAAGTAATACTCAAAAAAAGCTAAAAAATTAGCACTTATAAGCAGCAAACTGAATGCTATGGATTTATGTGGCACTGTACAAATTTAAAATCCACCAAACCTTATCACTGACTTTCCAGAGGCAGTAGGTTGGGCTAGATGCATGTGAAAGTCCTATGTTCCAAAGAATTGGAGCTATTCTATTCCTTGGATCAAATGTGATTACCTCCCAGTCCTCAGCCATAGTATGAGCCCAAAGGGTTTAGTGCTTCCCAGATGATTACCACCAGCACCTGCATTAAGATACCCATGCCTGCTTTAAAACATGCAGCCTAGAACACACACACTAGCTTGTATTATTTTTATTCAGCCTCTAATTAATATGATTTCTTCAACTTTAATAAGAATGCTTTATTATATTGCAGCATGATTTTAACTTTTATTAATACATTACTTTCTTTTTCCCTATTTACAATGAAACAAATTTAGTCAATGATTATCCATTTTAGAATAGTTACATTCAAGATTGCATTTTTTTTTTTTCATGGTTTTCTTTTTCTTTCTGTATGATCATACACGTATCAGTTTAAGTATGGTATTTTACTTTTTTTACTAATTTAACGAGATTCTCTATGAAATTCCATAAAGCCAAGATTGTCTTGTACCCTTTATCAAGCAATAAAAAAAAAATCTATCTCTAAAAAACTTTTCAATATTATTTATGTTTAGATAAAAAGTTACAAAGTTTCTGACATAATGACTTATAAGATGCTTAAAAGCAATACAAAATTTAACACAACTGCTTGCTCGCTCGCTCGCTCTCTCTCTTTAAACATGTTCCTCCCCAACACTATCACACTTGTCTATCATCCCCTTGTACTTCAGTGAACATCTAATAACCATAGAGGTGCAATGTATCAGTGCAGCTGTTTTAAACAACAAATATCTAGTCAAGAGTATGATATACCGACAATCAATTTAGGTAAATGGATACATGCAAAGTTCTGGATATAAACTATACGGAATGATGCATAGGTGCTCCTTTACCTAAATTTAAATCTGGAGTTCAATAACTAACCTTAGGAATCATGCAAAATCTCTGTCAAACATTAACATCCTAAGGAATATTATGAACTATGTGACATGCAACAATCAGTCCTGAAAAAAAAAAAATGGTAAGGAAACCACACACTGCCACTATTAGGTGGAAATAAATAAGTACTCATACATAATGTGAATACCGCAGAAATAATTCACCTGAAAAAATAAGCAAAAGAAAAATGTCCGAAAGACAATATTAGTAATGTACAATAATTAACAAACACTAAAAGTTTCTGACTGGTGTTAAGGGCAGGTATACCAACCAATTCATTATAATATTACGTGCTCTAAATTATTATTCAATTATGTACTAATATTATAAATACCCTTACAAGAGAAAACAAAAAAATTTGGTTTATATAATTTTTTACTGTAAAGACATTTTTAGCTATATCTTTTAACACTAAAGATGAGCTTCAAGAAGCATCTTCAGTGCACTCCATATTATAAAACTGAGTGCATCTTTCTTTGAGATTCTTTACAACATACACAACAGCGGTTTCCCTAGCTTTATGCGGTTTAGTTTATGTGGTGACCCTAATTCTACTAGTAATGTGCTACATGCCATGTCCATCGTTCTTGAGATCACCCAAGCCCAACACCACTCGATTTTTAATCTCTCTTTAAATACCACTAAACTGATTTATACCAACAAAGAATGAACAAAGTAAATTTGGGTGTGAGAAATCAAACAAGAATTTATAGTGAATAAAATCGTATGGGTGGTTTTAATTATTTATCGTTAATTCAAAACAAAATGTACACCAGGTTAGACGAAGATGGGTTGCCCCAACACACAGGGTTAGGGATGGAGGGAGGAAATAGCAGTAAGCTGTGTATTCACAGGTCTATAACATGTGCATTTCAATCCAGACAAAAACAGGCTGACTGGTTGGTGGTTAAGGGAATGTAAAAGAGGAGGAGGATTATGACCGAAATTTTGAATTTTACATTTTTCTAATTTATTTTCTGATTAATTGTATTTATTTTTGGTACATGGCCATTTGGTGTCTATCAGGTATACTAAAAAATTTTTTTTGGTAAAAGTAAGTAATGTGAATTTTTCCCTGCTTTTGTAGTGAAGAGTACATATTATTATATGTGTATTATGACTGCATTTTGGGTTATAGTTTTACCAAGTTTTCTGGGGGAAGAGCCAAATTTATTTAATTTTTTGTATATGACCATTTAGGCTTTTTTTTTTTCTTTCTTTGAGAACATTAGTCAAGAAATGTGGAATATACAGTCTCAGAACAAATCCTGACTTTTTACATGTTATACTGCATATGCTCTATATCAATCCACTTTGTGCCACAGGTCAGCAACACATCTATTGCATAAAGCGAGGGGAAGAAACCGTTATACAGGAATAGAGCAGTAAAGAAACATTTAAAAACTATTCAAATGTAATAAACTTCCTGATAACTATTGCTGATGGTGAGATAAAATATTACCTTTAGAAACGTGCATCTTGATCATCTATAACTGCCAACATTAAGTGAAAAATATTCAGTAACCACAACGAATATCATGAAAATATAAAAAATGCGAGATCCTTCATGATAATAAAACTGATTAATTACTTTTGCTGATCAAGATGCTATAAAAAAAATAAGTGAGGCACTTTGAAGCAAATCCTTCAGAGGACATCAAAGAGCTGGTTTACAAGGTAATGTATATTATTTGTGGAAATACACAAAATAATTATATTTAAACATAAAATACTGTGCTGTACTTATCTAGAAAGTCTTTGAAATATCCCAGTTTTTCTGTAGATTGCAATATGCTAAAACTACTACGGTCATGAATGGCTTTTTTTTTTGTGTGTTTACCATAAACAAAGAATGTACTGTTTTGTATAGCACACTGATACTACAGCATAAAGTAATTTACTGTATAACATACTTATTTCAATCTGTTCAAGCATTTAAATAATTAACCTTCAAAATATGACAATATTAGCTTTGATTAACAGACAGTTCAAAGACAGGGGTAGACCTTTAATTCATGCAAGAACTGAAGGCTTTGAAAATATTCATTTTGTATTTATTTAATAAAATTTTACAAATGATCTCTTTTTAATTTATGTTCTAATAGAGTAATTACCTTGTAGCAACCTTAGGTACTGGGATACTACATAAAATGATACACTACTGTAATGTATAATGTGAAAGGGTGAAATTCTGAAATTATAAGAAAAATATATACAAGTCAACTAGTAATAAATATTAACAATGATACATGATAATACAGTACTCATGAACTACACAAAAAATTCATAAAATAAAAAATATAATAATTACAAAAGTTTGTCAAGAGAGCGGTGTACATAAAACAAACGTTTTAGTACTAGTTAAAGATATTCTTTGGGATAACAAAGTCATTGTTGGGATGGCAATATATCATCTCCTTTTAGATTCATTACAAAAAGGAAAAATACCTAACTTATTATTGTAGAGGACCGGAATTTGACAATGTCCACAACTTGCAAAACTTAACGAACACCACAACCCGCACAGGCACTGAATATTAACATTAATAACTGGGATAAATGGGCTAGAATTGGACAATAGCTACGAGTTACCATCAACAATGTTTCCTTCTTCTGTCTCGACAGATGGAACTTTAGTGGCTCTAGTTTCAATATTTCCTGTAGTCATGGAAGTTGTGGGAATCTTGATATCTGCTATGCTAAAACCAGGAGGAGCTTGATGATCTGTTGACACTCCCACAGACTCCAGAATAGCCTTAAACTGCTGGAGGGTTTTGCGTAAGGTGATACAAAAACCTTTAGAAGCAGGGATCAATGGAAATTCTGGCAACTCCACTTTGGTATCTGATGGAAAAAGAAAAGACATTAATACAAATGTACACTTTTTTCCTCTGTGAAAGCTAATATTGTACAGCACAGCATTTATAATTTTTTTAACATGTCATTTCCTACCAAAAGGAAAAATGCATTCACCAACACTCAAGTCTCTAGCATTCTTGTCATAAGCGTGAGGGCATTGCAAGTCAAATGACCTTCCAAACTGTCCAAGGACATCACAAATCAAATGACCCTCCAAACTATGAAAAAACCCCTCTTTTCACTCATTGGCAAGTACTGTGCCTCCAACCTCCAGCACTCAAATCTAATCGGTAATCCCTATGATTCTTAATTGATATAATTAATCAGCTCACTCAAATTGCTACTAAAGATTGTCTTGCTATGTAAGAGGATAACCAAAGCAAAACTTTCACAATGAGTAATCAATGAACTGCTTTTCTCCAATGCATTTCTACTGGTGTTAAAGTATAAAACTAAGAGTACCTGTTTTATGTATCTCCCTGAAGGTGGTTGGTGTTGTTGGTGAAAGTGGATGAGAAATATTGTAATTTTCTGATATCTCCAGCCAGCACTCTAGCCTCTGCACTTGTCTGTAGAAAAAAGGATAGTTCCAATTATTTCTAGTTAAAAGGAGAATACAAGATTTCAGTAATATTAAAAAAAACTTACTCAAATAGTTACAATGTATTTCTTATAAACTAAAATCACTACTTTTCTCTTGACATGTAATGCTAGTCATATAAAGAGCCTAACAGTATTATTATAATCATTACTGCTATAAGATTTACCAAAATTATTAAAATACATAGCTATTTTAATTTTTAATTTTTAAGTTTCATAGGCATTAGCTTTTGACGTCCAAAAGGTTTATAAACTAAAAGAGGAGGCAGTTAGGGTAAGATATAAACAGCTATTGGAGGATAGATGGGCTAATGAGAGCATAGGCAATGGGGTCGAAGAGGTATGGGGTAGGTTTAAAAATGTAGTGTTAGTGTGTTCAGCAGAAGTTTGTGGTTACAGGAAAGTGGGTGCGGGAGGGAAGAGGAGCGACTGGTGGAATGATGATGTAAAGAGAGTAGTAAGGGAGAAAAAGTTAGCATATGAGAAGTTTTTACAAAGTAGAAGTGATGCAAGGAGGGAAGAGTATATGGAGAAAAAGAGAGAGGTTAAGAGAGTGGTGAAGCAATGTAAAAAGAGAGCAAATGAGAGAGTGGGTGAGATGTTATCAACAAATTTTGTTGAAAATAAGAAAAGTTTTGGAGTGAGATTAACAAGTTAAGGAAGCCTAGAGAACAAATGGATTTGTCAGTTAAAAATAGGAGAGGAGAGTTATTAAATGGAGAGTTAGAGGTATTGGGAAGATGGAGGGAATATTTTGAGGAATTGTTAAATGTTGATGAAGATGGAAGCTGTGATTTCGTGTATAGGGGAAGGAGGAATAACATCTTGTAGGAGTGAGGAAGAGCCAGTTGTGAGTGTGGGGGAAGTTCGTGAGGCAGTAGGTAAAATGAAAGGGGTAAGGCAGCCGGGATTGATGAGATAAAGATAGAAATGTTAAAAGCAGGTGGGGATTAGTTTTGGAGTGGTTGGTGCAATTATTTAATAAATGCATGGAAGAGGGTAAGGTACCTAGGGATTGGCAGAGAGCATGCATAGTTCCTTTGTATAAAGGCAAAGGGGACAAAAGAGTGCAAAAATTATAGGGGGATAAGTCTGCTGAGTATACCTGGTAAAGTGTATGGTAGAGTTATTATTGAAAGAATTAAGAGTAAGACGGAGAATAGGATAGCAGATGAACAAGGAGGCTTTAGGATAGGTAGGGGGTGTGTGGACCAGGTGTTTACAGTGAAACATATAAGCGAACAGTAATTTAGATAAGGCTAAAGAGGTCTTTGTGGCATTTATGGATTTGGAAAAGGCGTATGACAGGGTGGAAAAGGGGGCAATGTGGCAGATGTTGCAGGTGTATGGTGTAGGAGGTAGGTTCTGAAAGCAGTGAAGAGTTTTACAAGGATAGTGAGGCTCAGTTAGAGTATGTAGGAAAGAGGGAAATTATTTCCAAGTAAAAGTAGGCCTTAGACAAGGATGTGTGATGTCACCGTGGTTGTTTAATATATTTATAGATGGGGTTGTAAGAGAAGTAAATGCGAGGGTCTTGGCAAGAGGCGTGGAGTTAAAAGATAAAGAATCACACATAAAGTGGGAGTTGTCACAGTTGCTCTTTGCTGATGACACTGTGCTCTTGGGAGATTCTGAAGAGAAGTTGCAGAGATTGGTGGATGAATTTGGTAGGGTGTGTAAAAGAAGAAAATTAAAAGTGAATATAGGAAAGAGTAGGGTTATGAGGATAACAAAAAGATTAGGTGATAAAAGATTGGATATCAGATTGGAGGGAGAGAGTATGGAGGAGGTGAATGTATTCAGATATTTGGGAGTGGACGTGTCAGCGGATGGGTCTATGAAAGATGAGGTGAATCATAAAATTGATGAGGGGAAAAGGGTGAGCGGTGCACTTAGGAGTCTGTGGAGACAAAGAACTTTGTCCTTGGAAGCAAAGAGGGGAATGTATGAGAGTATAGTTTTACCAACGCTCTTATATGGGTGTGAAGCATGGGTGATGAATGTTGCAGCGAGGAGAAGGCTGGAGGCAGTGAAGATGTCATGTCTGAGGGCAATGTGTGGTGTGAATATAATGTAGAGAATTCGTAGTTTGGAAGTTAGGAGGAGGTGCGGGATTACCAAAACTGTTGTCCAGAGGGCTGAGGAAGGGTTGTTGAGGTGGTTCGAACATGTAGAGAGAATGGAGCTAAACAGAGTGACTTCAAGAGTGTATCAGTCTGTAGTGGAAGGAAGGCGAGGTAGGGGTCGGGGTCGGCCTAGGAAAGGTTGAAGGGAGGGGGTAAAGGAGGTTTTGTGTGCGAGGGGCTTGGACTTCCAGCAGGCATGCGTGAGCGTGTTTGATAAGAGTGAATGGAGACAAATGGTTTTTAATACTTGACGTGCTGTTGGAGTGTGAGCAAAGTAACATTTATGAAGGGGTTCAGGGAAACCGGCAGGCCGGACTTGAGTCCTGGAGATGGGAAGTACAGTGCCTGCACTCTGAAGGAGGGGTGTTAATGTTGCAGTTTAAAAACTGTAGTGTAAAGCACCCTTCTGGCAAGACAGTGATGGAGTGAATGATGGTGAAGTTTTTCTTTTTCGGGGCCACCCCGCCTTGGTGGGAATCGGCCAGTGTGATAATAATAAAAATATAAAAAATGTCCAAAAAACAGTACCTATTTTTTTTTTTAAACACACTGTCCATTTCCTACCAAGGCAGGGTGACCTAAAAAGAAAGAAAAAATACTTTCATCATTATTCAATACTTTCACCATCACTCATACATAATCACTGTCTTTGCAAAGGTTTAGAAGTCCCTCCAAACTGCCAATATCCCAAACCCTCCTTTAAAGTGCAGGCATTTTACTTCCCACTTCCAAGATTCAAGTCCAGCTAACCGGTTTCCCTGAATCCGTTCACAAAATATTACCCTGCTCACACTCCAACAGCTCGTCAGGTCCCAAAAACCATTCATCTTCATTCACTCCTATCTAACATGTTCACGCATGCTTGCTGGAAGTCCAAGCCCCTCGCCCACAAAACCTCCTCTACCCCCTCCCTCCAACCTTTGCGAGGACGACCCCTATCCCACCTTCCTTCCCCTACAGATTTATACACTCTCCAAGTCATTCTACTTTGTTCCATTCTTTCTAAATGACCAAACCACCTGAACATTCCCTCTACAGCCCTCTGACTAATACTTTTAGTAACTCCACACCTCCTCCAAATTTCCACACTATGAATTCTCTGCATAATATTTACACCACACATTGCCCTTAGACAGGACATCTCCACTGCCTCCAGCCGCCTCCTCGCAGCAGCATTTACAACTCAAGCTTCACACCCATACAAGTGTGTTGGTACCACTATACTTTTGTAAATTCCCTTCTTTGCCTCCATAGATAACAATTTTTGTCTCCACAGATACCTCAACACACCACTCACCTTTTTTCCTTCATCAATTCTATGGCTAACCTCATCCTTCATAAACCCATCTGCTGACAAGTCAACTCCCAAACATCTGAAAACATTCACTTCTTCCATACTCTCCCTCTCCAATGTGACATCCAATTTTTCTTTATCTAAATTGTTTGATACCCTCATCATCTTACTCTTATCTATGTTCACTTTCAACTTTCTACCTTTACACGCCCTCCAAAACTCATCCACTAACCTTTGCAATTTATGTTGAAATATAATTTTTTTATAAAACATTCAAATGTTTTCTTAAGAGATGATGGTAAAACAATATAGATACAGCTTTTAACCCAGAAAAACAGATTAGCAACTTGAAAACAAAATACTTTGTCATAAAGAAGACAAATCCTTTAAGCTGAAAAGATGATTATAATCTTAATAAAGTTATGAAGAACTAAAAATAGTACAACAGTACATGTAGGCACTGCAAAAAGTAAAATCTAACTTTTTTTAGTGAATTACTGGGAGCACAGGACTTACCGAAAAGCTTTTACATGAAAATGGTGAATGATTTCACTTTTAAAGATATCAGGTGGTGCCTGGATCACTTTTGCCATAGCCTGAATTAGTTTAAGAACTACCATTTCATTGTACATGCGAGAGTTCTCCCGTCCCTGCTGTGTACCTTTCTGACGCTCATACCCAGCTTCATTGAAGTATGGCTCACTCACTAAGATCAAACCTATATAAAACAAAACAAAAAATTAGAAGCATATTAAAGACACAATCTTATATCACTATTATTTTAAAGATTCTGCGTTTAAAAATTTAATTACAGTATTATATTGCACAAATACAGTGGTACCTAGAGTTACAAACTTAATTTGTCCCAGAAGGCTGTTCAAGCGCCAATACCAAATGAATTTGTTCCCATAAGGAATAATGTAAATTAGATTAGTCGGTTTCAGACCCCCAAAAATACACTTACAAAAGCACTTACAAAAATACACTTATGTAACTGTTCGAGTTACAAGCTATTCGAAACTCAAGGTACCACTGTAAAAATTATACTGGTGGAATTGAATAAAATACACAAGCTGGCAGGAACATCAGTAAATTCAACAACTGAGGCAGAGATGTATCATCCGAGAACAATGATGTTTTGTAAAATTTAAATAAGTAGATAAATGGTGGAAATGATCAAGGCACGTAAATGTAAAGGTTCTTAATCAGCATGTTAAAAAATAACGTACTGACCGTCTCCTACCGAGGCAGGGTGACCTGAAAAAGTAACACTTTCACCATCACCATCATTCACACTATCACTGTCTTGCCAGAGGTGTGCAGATACCACAGTTCAGATCTCCCTCCAAACTGCAAATATCCCAAACCCCTCATTTAGAGTGCAGGCACTATACTTCCCACCTCTAGGACTCAAGTGACACACACTAACCCTGTATTGAGATGATGACTTGAAGAAGATTACTCTGGCTGGTCCATACCTCTGTGCCTTTGCCACTCCATGTACCAAGGAGTGATACACAGACCTGTAGAGAAAGAATAGAAGCATCATGTGACCCATGGGTTTACTGTTTTAAATAATAATAATAATTAGCTGCCTCATAACCAATCTTACATCTACATTAACTTTTGATGGAGAGTTCTTAAACCTGCAAATTTTTAAATGCATGGAAGTTTTAGTAACTTAACTATAGTACTGTAAGAGGGTTTACTGTACTCTATTTATGCATGGATCATATAAAAAAATGTGGGAGCCAAGGTCTGACTCCATAATACTGCTGCAATATTAAGGCAGTTCGTGAACTATGGATACAGTGGATGAAACTGACATTTGTAATCTCATCATACCTACCTTTCCATCTTCATAGAGGTTCGGGTTGAGCTTGTCAGAACAATAAGTAACATAATGACAGAGTGGGGGTGCACGGGGGTAGTCAGCTGATAGTTGAAAGTCAAAAAAGAAGAGACCATCTTCATATGGCGTTCGCTCTGGTCCTCGAATCATAACAGAGTAGAGATCCTACCATGAAAGTAAAAAAAATCTGGATGCAGTAAAAGTCTTGTATATATTATGTAACATTAAATATGGAATTACCAAAACCTTTGAATTTTCCAAATAACAGCAAACCTTATCAGAAACTAGGTTACAGTAATGGAGGAGGGAGGGGGGTGTTGTGTTCTAAAGCAAGTTCTGTATTTTATTCTACAGGCCTTTGCTTATGGCACAAATACATTCCACCAAAACTCATGAAAAATCTATCTAATCACATTTTCACATGAAATCATTTTTCCAGCAAAAACATTAAATCTTAATACTCCAGAAACGATAGCAGTAACATGTGACAGTGACATATGATTAAATATTCTGCAATTCTAAGAAACATTCCATTGAAAGAGTGGACAACCTGTCCAGTTTGGTAGCTGCTCCAGGATTTGGTGGCAGGTTTACAACTCCTCCACCTGTCATAGACTTTCATTATAATATCTAATGTGTCATATTCATCTCAGAAAAAAAAAACTTTCATACCAAATTATTGCTATATACAGTAGTAGGTTTTAAATAAAATTATATTAATCACGTTCCTGGCCACAGCTGCCTTGCCCGTGCTACAACGAGGAACTGGGCAGATCGTTTTGTCCTGGGAAAATGAACCGAGGCTCATTTCTAGTTTTAAAAGATTGTCATAAGAGGTGACTAAAATACAAGAAACAAGCAGCTAGTAACCCCTTCTGTATAAATTACTAAATTTAAAAAGAAAAACATTGTTTTCTTTTTGAATTAAGTAAAAAGAAATATACATGTACATAAATATACATATACATAAGAAAAACTTTGTTTTTCTTTTTAGGTTATCCTCCATCAGTGGGAGATGACCAGTACATTAAAAATAAATATTCACCATGATAGTGTAAATATTATACAGAGAATTCGTAGTGTGGAAATTAGGAGGTGGTGTGGAGTTATTAAAAGTATTAGTCAGAGGGCTGAAGAGGGGCTATTAAGGTGATTTGGTCATTTAGAGAAAGTGGAACGAAGTAGAATGACTTGGAGGGCGTATAAATCTGTTGGGGAAGGAAGGCGGGGTAGGGGTCATCCCTGAAAAGGTTGGAGGGAGGGGGGAAAGGAAGTTTTGTGGGCAAGGGGCTTGGACTTCCAGCAAGTGTGCGTGAGTGTGTGTTAGATAGGAGTGAATGGAGACAAATGGTTTTTGGGACCTGACGAGCTGTTGGAGTGTGAGCAGGGTAATATTTTGTGAAGGGATTCAGAGAAACCAGTTAGCTGGACTAGAGTCTTGGAAATGGGAAGTACAATGCCTGCACTTTGGAGGAGTTTAGGATATTGGCAATTTGGAGGGACATCTAAACTGTCAAATCTGAGTGCCTCTGCAAAGACAGTGATTATGTATGAGTGATGGTGAAAGTATTGAATGATGAAAGTTTTTTCTTTCTTTTCGGGGTTTTCTTTCTTTTTGGGTCACCCTGCTTCGGTGGGAAATGGCCGAAATGTTAAAAAAAAAAAATTGCAAAATAACCACTGTGAAAAAATACCGAATTTCCAAGCACTTTCGTGATTTCTCGTATTATCAAGGAACTTATCATCATCATCATCATCAAGGAACTTGATAATGTTGATGTAAGAAATCATGAAAATGCTTGGAAATTCACTATTTTTTTAGTGGTTATTTTCCATATTGTGATATCACCTGTTTACTGTAATCAGATTTTTTTTTTTCAACAAGTCGGCCGTCTCCCAGCGAGGCAGGGTGACCCAAAAAGAAAGAAAATCCCCAAAAAGAAAATACTTTCATCATCATTCAACACTTTCACCTCACTCACACATAAGCACTGTCTTTGCAGAGTTGCCCAGATACAATAAACATATATGACATACCCCTCCAAACTGCCAATATCCCAAACCCCTCCTTTAAAGTGCAGGCACTGTACTTCCCATTTCCAATACTCAAGTCCAGCTATATAAAAATAACCGGTTTTCCCGAATCCCTTCACTAAATATTACCCTGCTCACACTCCAACAGCTCGTCAGGTCCCAAAAACCATTCATCTCCATTCAATCCTACCTAACAAGCTCACAAATGCTTGCTGAAAGTCCAAGCCCCTCCCCCACAAAACCTCCTTTACCCTCTCCCTCCAACCTTTTCGAGGACGACCCCTAACCCGCCTTCCTTTCCCTACAGATTTATACACTCTCCAAGTCATTCTACTTTGATCCATTCTCTCTAAATGACCAAACCACCTCAACAACCCCTCTTCAATGTCAACACTTGATCTACACATCCCCTACCCACTCTAAAACCTCCTTGCTCATCTGCAATCCTACTCCCTGTCTTGCCTCTCATTCTTTCAATACTCGGTAAACTTATTCCCCTATAATTTTTACAATCTCTTTTGTCCCCCTTCCCTTTATATAAAGGAACTATACATGCTCTCTGCCAATCCCTAGGTACCTTCCCCTCTTTCATTCATTTATTAAACAAAAATTACCAACCACTCCAACACTATATCCCCCACAGCTTTTAACATTTCTGTCATGATCCCGTCAGTTCCAGCTGCTTTACCCCCTTTCATTCTACGTAATACCTCACACATCTCCCCCACACTCACATATTGCTCTTCTTCACTCCTAAAAGATGTTATACCTCCTTGCCAGTGCATGAAATTCCCATCTCCCTTTCTTCATCGACATTTAAAAGTCCCTCAAAATATTCCCACCATTTACCCAATACCTCCAGCTCCCCATCTACTAACTCCCCTGCCCTGTTTTTAACTGACAAATCCATTCGCTCCCTAGGCTTTCTTAATTTTTTTATCTCACTTTAAAACTTTTTTCTTATTTTCATCCAAATTTCTTGACAGTGCCCTCTCCCACTCTTTTCATCTGCTCCCTTTTTTCACCTCTTTTCACCCCTCTCTTCATCTTTCTTTTATTTTTCATATACTCTGCTCTTCTTATAACACTTCTGCTTTGTAAAAACCTCTCATAAGCTACCTTTTTCTCTTTTATCACACCCTTTACTTCATCATTCCACCAATCACTCCTCTTTCCTCCTGCACCCACCCTCCTATAGCCACAATCTTCTGCCCCACATTCTAATACTGCATTTTTAAAACTATTCCAACCCACTTCAACCCCTCCCCCTCCCACTACTCATGTTTGCACCAGCCCACCTTTCTGCCAATACAGTGGACCCCCGCATAACGATCACCTCCAAATGCGACCAATTATGTAAGTGTATTTATGTAAGTGCATTTGTACGTGTATGTTTGGGGGTCTGAAATGGACTAATCTACTTCACAATATTCCTTATGGGAACAAATTCGGTCAGTACTGGCACCTGAACATACTTCTGGAATGAAAAAATATCGTTAACCGGGGGTCCACTGTAGTTGCTTATATCTCACCCTAACTTCGTCCTCCCTTAGTTTATACACTTTCACCTCTTTCTCCTACTTGCTGTTGCCATTTTCCTTTTGTCCCACCTACCTCTTACTCTAACTGTGGCTACAACTAAATAATGATCTGATATATCAGTTGCCCTTCTATAAACATGTACATCTTTAAGCCTACCCATCAACCTTTTATTCACCAATACATAATCTAACAAACTACTTTCATTACGTGCTATATCATACCTTGTATACTTATTTATCCTCTTTTTCATAAAATATGTATTACTTATTACCAAACCTCTTTCTACACTTAACTCAATTAAAGCCTCCCCATTTTCGTTTACCCCTGGCACCCCAAATTTACCTACTACTCCCTCCACAACACTTTTACCCACTTTAGCATTGAGATCCCCAACCATAAGTACTCTCTCACTTGGTTCAAAACTTCCCCACGCACTCACTCAACATTTCCCAAAAACTCTCTTTTCCTCTACACTTTTTCTTCTCCAGGTGCATAAACACTTACTATAACCCACTTTTCACATCCAACCCTTATTTTACTTCACATAATCCTTGAATTTATACATTTATATTCCTCTTTTCCTGCCATAACTTATCCTTCAACATTATTGCTACTCCTTCGTAAGCTCTAACTCTATTTAAAACCCTTGACCTAATCCCATTTATTTCTCCCCACTGAAACTCTCCCACCCCCTTCAGCTTTGTTTCACTTAAAGCCAGGACATCCAGCTTCTTCTCATTCGTTATATAACATCTACAGTCATCTCTTTTTTATCATTCACACAACATCCATGTACATTTAAACATCCCACTTTGACAGGTTTTTTTCATGTATATTATGTAAAAATAAGTTGATGGTGTGTTTATTATAAAGGATCATATGCAAGATTAAGAAAATAATAAACATATATGCAGATACAGTATATACTGTAGTTTACAAGACAATCTCCTCTCTATTCACCATAATTGCCACTACCAGTCACCCACTCCCTCCTTATTAGTCAATTATATTGAGGGTTTAAGTATAATTAAGATTACAAGTTAATGGATACAGAAGTATAACAAAGAATATAAATTAACCAAGATTAAAGTTCTCATCAAAATTAGTACAGGGTATATTAACCCTTTCAGGGTCCAGAGGCCAAATTTCAAAGTGTGAACCAGTGTCCAAGAATTTTCAAAAAATAATTTTTTTTATGAAATTGTAGAGAATTTTTTTCTGAAGGTAATAAAACTAAAGGTATGAAATTTGATGGAAAATTGACGAAATTATGCTCTTGCGAATTCTGGCGTGTCAGCCATATTTACGCATTGGCGATTTTGCCAACTTTGACTCCCATTTTAGGCCAATTACATTATTCCAGTCAACCAAATTCTTAGCTATTTCACTAGTATTACTTTTACTCTATCGACTGAGACCAAGAATTCACCAAGTCAACTGTTTCAACTACAAAATAAAGTGATCGGAAATTGGTAATTTGACCAATTTAATGCAAAGTTCAAAATACTCCAATTTCAAAATAGGGTCCAGAATAAATAATGCAGGCATTCCTGGCACTAAAATAACATTTCCTCTGTTCATTAGTTATGTTTTCAGGCTTTACTAATGAATTCCATTTTGATTTTTTATTCAAATAATGAATTTTTATTCAAACCAAACAACAGAAGATTTACTGTTATGCACTATTGTAATAATTGTATAAATAATATCACCACTGGTGGCCTGGTGGTTAACGCTCTCGCTTCACACGGCGAGGGCCTGGGTTCGATTCCCAGCCAGAGTAGAAACATTGGACGTGTTTCTTTCAACCTGTTGTCTATGTTCCCCATCAGTAAAATGGGTACCTGGGTGTTAGTCGACTGGTGTGGGTCGCATCCTGGGACACTGACCTAAGGAGGCCTGGTCACAGACCGGGCCGCGGGGGCGTTGACCCCCGGAACTCTCTCCAGGTAAACTCCAGGTAAACATTTGTGAACGTATATTAGACCCACCAGCATGTGAGGTCATTTGTTTACTCTTGAACATCGGCAAAAATTTAACATTTCCGCTACTTTGAGCTCAGTTTCAAGCCATTTCCATTACTAAAATCAATCAAAATCATCTCTATTTCTGTAATATATCTTCCATTCTATCAAATGAGACCAAGAAATTGCAAATGCAAGTATAAAAAAACATGAGAAAACACTGCAAAGTCGCTGTTTTAATCGAAAATTACAGTCTCAGTTTTTTCTCTCATTATGCACTATGTGCTGCAGGATTTGTTTTATGTGGTGCACACATACCACATAGATGTATTCTCTCATATCTAGGCTAAAATTTACCACTCACAGGTTATCAGAGTGAGCTGAGCTCATGACGTAGATCTACGATTTGAACCCTCAACGTAAAGCTGTAGATCTACGACACGGACCCTCAAAGGGTTAATATAATATAAAAAGAAAGGAAGTCTCAAAAATTAAACAAGTACTTACCATTCTGTCTTCATAACCTCTAACCCAGATGCCTGGTGGAAGGGAAGTTGTTAACAATTTCATCTCTTTGCGAACAGTTCTGTAGAAGTGTGGTGGATCAGTTGGCTGAAACATTGTCAGCTTAAATTTATGGCTATCAGGAGCAGCTTCTAACACCAGAAACCCTGAAAAAAGAAAAAAATGTTAAGACTTTATAACTAGTTCTCACAATGAAGCACCACCTGTAATAATCAATGTAATACTGGCTTTAATCTACATGCACAGCTCAAATGTTCAACAAGAATATACTATACATTCCCATCCATTTATCAAGCTTCCATCTCACACTCAATGTAGTAACCCCTTGGAAACATTAACACACATGCAGTTTAATGTGGTCCTTTATTGACAACGTTTCGCCCACACAGTGGGCTTTTTCAAGTCACAAACAGATCTACCTGGGGTGGAAGGCACGTACCTTCCACCCCAGGTAGATCTGTTTGTGACTTGAAAAAGCCCAGTGTGTGGGCGAAACGTTGTCAATAAAGGACCACATTAAACTGCATGTGTGTTTATGTTTCCATTGTGTCGGTATTTTATACCATTTATTTTCATCGTAGTAACCCCTTGGATGGTTGCTGCTTACCAATATACTACCGTACCTACCACATCAACATTCCAAAAGTCTACTACATTATTTGTGAAAACTTATATACTGTACCACTATTCTTATGGCAATTTTTTTCATTTACAATTGAGGCTTCTAGATTTTAATCTATTTCTCACTTCCTTTTATTACCCATCTGCTTATTTTTATACTTATTCTTAATCCCAAGTACCGATGATAGCATTGTCAGTGTTTGTCTTTCATTATAATTCCTACTCATAACCTTTGGTACCCATTTTCAACATGCCTTTTTTTTGTATCATTAACTTTTTTCTACTTAATACAAATGCCACATTACCACTGCATATTCCAATTTTGGGTTAATTCAAGCTAACTTTTTTTTTTTTTTTTTATTTTTAGCATTTTACTATCCTTACGTTTGAAGGCTATTTTGAAGTTTATCCAGTATGCTGTGATGTACAACATACAAGTTTCCCGCAGAGCACATGCTCATACATTTTGAAATATAGGCAGCAAGATGACCTTGATAACTTTATCAAAAGTAAAACTGAAAAAAAAAAAAAAAACTATTTTCAAACCACTAAGAATTTTATATAGTATTACTAGATAAGGATCCAAAAAGAAAACTTTCAAATTATGACTAGTGCTTTTACAGTTTAAACTGCCATTAACTTAGCAGCATGTTTATCTAGTCAATTTTGAATTCATTGTTACTGTATGAGTATTAAAAACATTATGTTCATTCAACCTACAAACAGTCACGCATTATGTGGAAAGTATGCTAGTATATGATCTGCTAGTAAATAGACAAATGGACTGTATTGTGTTAATGCTGCCATATTAGCCAACATTTACAACAGCTTTGATTCGTTTAGAATAAGTGGACTAAAGTCGATACAGTCCTTGATGTTTCATGTAATCCATATTAAACAGATATTGTGAAAGATAGTGCTGTAACTTGCATTTGTAGTTTACAAGAACAATCGGCAAGTTATCATGGTATTAGTAATAAAATTAAAATAGTAAAATTAATTTTAACAAAGAAAACAGTACTTTGTCCATGTTTATGAATCAACTGTTTACCTTAGCAGCACATCAGTCCGCTATTATGAATCAATATAACACAAGATTAGTTAAACCTGAGAGTTTACTGATTACATTGTATGTTATCAAGGAAAATTTCAGGAAATTAAACATCAGGAATAGGTAAGAAAATTAATATAGTAAATTTAATTTTAAAGGATCAAAGTAAGGCAGGTATATTAGATTTTAGTAAGACTTAGCATATAATCAATGTAATTCTGTACGTAACAGTAATACAGCCCTAAACTTGAAGATGATTACAATATAACAGTGGGTTCACAGTATGTCAGTTCTATTGCCCTGGGATGAGCCTTACAACTACGATCCAGCTACATTAATATGGAAGATAGGATTTCAGGAACTGCACTCGATAAACCAGCCTCCTCTAAGCACAAGAATATTGTGCAATCAATAGTAAAATATATTGATAAGTATGTTAATAAGACACAATATGGTGCTTATGGTATTTATTGAGATGTTTTGTCCACCAGGGACTTTATCAATCTAATTCATATTGATAATGTCCCTGATGACTGAAACATCTCAATACAGTACCATAAACCTTACAGTGTGTATTATTCATAGAGAGGAAATGGTGTTCAAAAGTCATTGATCAAGTTCTATTTGGCACAGGGAATGGCACACACAAGCCTCTGATCAAGCAATGCCTAAAGTAGTAAAGGATAGGATATACAGGTCATGGATCTATAAACTGGCACTCAGATAACAAACACAATGCCTGCACTCTGGAGAGGTGATGATGCAGTCTGAAGGCTCATATTACTTGTGACATCTACACACTGCTGGCAAAACAGTTATGAAATGAATAATAGCAATTAATTATTTCTTTTTTTTTGAGGGAGGATGGGGGGGGGGAGAGTGGTCACCTTACCTTGGTGTGAGATGGTCAGTGATAAAAAAAAATCTTGAAAAAATGGATATGCATGCAAATACTTACTATAAATGATATTTTAATTATACACTTATTTTGCATAGTACAGTAGGAAACCCTCTCCATGTATACTCCAGGAAGTACAATGCCTGCACTCTGAAGGTGAGGATGGCAGTTTGGAGGGGCATCCAAGCTGTAATGTCAGCATACCTCTGACAAGACAGTAATGGAAATAATGAGATAGAAATTGTTTCTTTTTTTTTCGGGTTACCCTACTTCAGTGGGAGATGGCCAGTGTGTTAATTTAAAAACTCCATGTGATTTTCTAAATTATTTACAAACATGTTAATACAGCTTTTAATTTCTTTTGCAAAGTTATTCACATAAACTAGGAACTGTGCTGTTGCTATGTATTTCCTGTTGGTCGTCTTCTTTCAAACAGAAAACCTTCAATCTACTAATAATTTGCCTTTAATTTCTCCTGTTTTGGCTTTTTTGCAATAAAAACAAATGCAATCTGCATATCCAGTTCTTCTTTGAATAGTTACTATACCTTTTACAACTGCATAACATCTGATATTTTTATATTCAAGGGGAAATAATTCTAGAGAATAAAAAGTAATCAAGTCTGATCCAAGAAAGAGAAATTTAGCTCCAATTCCTTAGATCAAAAGCCCTTCACCAGCATTAGGGATAGATTTAATACAGTGAACCCTCAGATATCATCCATTCCTGTTATCGGCCAATTCAGTCATCAGCTGGTTCTTCGACTCCTGGTGATCGGCCGCTATTTTGGTGATCAGCCGTTTCTGACACATCCGTCCGCCAGCTGGGGCCACTTGCACATCAGTCTGGCTGTGCCTCCCAGTGTGTGAGGAAGCTTCTGCTCATACATCCAAACATTTCGCTTGTTTTCCATTGTTTTTTGTGTTTTTTTGCAGTGCAACTGCGAAATAAGTAACCATGGCTCCAAGAAAGTTCCTAGTAAAGTTCCTGTGGTAAAGAAAGTGAGAAACACCATGGAATTTAAGCGTGAAGTGGTTGATAAATACAAGAGGGGTATGTGGGTGCTGGAACTTGCCAGGATTTACGGGAAAAACAAATCTATCATGACATCCATCCTGGCAAAGAAAGAACAAATCAAGGACGCTAATGTTGCGAAAGGATTAACTTTTATAACGAAACAAAGGTCACCAATAATGGAAGAGATGGAAAAGGTGTTGTTATTGTGGATTAAGGAAAAACAATTACTGGGAGACAGTGTTGTGGAATCTATTATTTGTGAGAAGGCAAAGTAGAAAACTGCTGGAACAAGTGCTGCTGGTAGTGAATTTAGGGCCAGCAAAGGGTGGTTTGAGAGATTTAAGAACTGTAGTGGCATACACAGTGTTGTAAGGCATGGAGAGGCTGCAAGTTCTGACAAAAAAGCGGTTGAAAACTACGTACGTACTAGAGTTCAAGGACTATGTAAAGGCTGAACAATTAAAATCCCAACAAGAGTTCAACTGTGACAAAAATGCCAAACAGGACCTACATCACACAGGAGGAAAAGGCACTGCTAGGACACAAGCCATGAAAGACAGTCTTACTCTTTTATGTACTAATGCTAGAGGGGATTTTAAAGTGAAGCCTTTTCTGGTGTATCACTCAGAAAATTCCAGTGTGTTCAAGAAAAGCAATGTCATCAAGAATAGACTGTGTGATGTGGAAAGCTAATCAAAAGGCATGGGGTCACAAGGCACATTTTCAGAGAGTGGGTTAATGTGTTTGGCCCAAGTGTGAAAAAATACCTCCTAAAAAAGAAATTGCCACTCAAGTGCCTCCTGGTACTGGACAATGCTCCTGCACATCCTCCAGACTAGGAAGGCCAAGTGTTTAGGGACTTCAATTTCATCACAGTGAAGTTCTTGCCTCCTAACACCACTCCTCTCCTCCAGCCCATAGACAAGCAGGTCATTTTTAACTTCAAAAAACTCTGCACAAAAGCAGTGTTTGAAAAGTGCTTTGAAGTGACCTCTGACACTCAGTTGACCCTAAGAAAGTTCTGGAAAGATCACTACACTATCCTCAATTGCATAAGCTTTATAGGTGAGGCTTTGGAGGAAGTGACTTCCAGGACTTTGAACTATGCTTGGAGAAAATTGTGGCCAGGTTGTGTCCAAGAGAGGGATTTTAAAGGGTTTGAGGCTGACCCTGACCCTGCCGACCCTGTGGACTCTACTGTGGCACTGGAGAAGTCCCTGGGGTTGGAGGTGAGTGGCAAGAATGTGGAAGAGTTGGTGGAGGACCACAAGGAAGAGCTAACCACTGAAGAGCTGCAAGAGCTTCAACTCAAACAGCAACAGACTGCAGCTGAGGACCTTGCTTCAGAGGAGGAGGAAGAGGGAGTGAAGGAGGTGCCTTCTTCAGAGATCAAAGAGGTGTGTGCAATGTGGACTAGAGTGCAAGCTTCTGTAGAGAAACACCACCCTGACCAAGCTGAAACAAGCCATATCTGCAACATGTTCAGTGACAAAACCCTGTCCCACTTCAAAGAAATCGTAGAGACACACCAGAAACAGACCTCTATGGACAGATTTGTTGTGCAACAAGGGTCCAGTGACTCTAAAGCTGGTCCTAGTGGCATTAAAAGACAAAGAAGGGAAGTAACCCCAGAGAAGGCTTTGCTACCTAAAGTCGTTATGGAGGGCGGTTCCCCTTCCAAACACTAACTCGTCCCTCTTTCCTCCTCCCTGTCTTCCAGAATCCAGCATTAGCCTTCAATAAAGGTATGTAATACAGTGGACCCCCGCATACCGTTGGCATCACATAACGTTAAATCCGCATACCGATACATTTTATCGCTAAGATTTTGCCTCACATACCGCTAAAAAACCCGCTCAACACTATTCGTCCAAGATGCGTCTAATGTGCGGCCTGAGCCAGCCTCACATGTTCCGCCGGTGGCACTGTTTACAAGCCAGCCTCCGCGGTAACATCCAAGCATACAATCGTAACATTTCGTATTACAGTGTTTTTGGTGATTTTATCTGCAAAATAAGTGGCCATGGGCCCCAAGAAAGCTTCTAGTGCCAACCCTGTGGTAAAAAGGGTGAGAAATATTATCGAAATACTGTGGTACCATGGTCAACTGCTGCTGCTGCTGCTGCTGTAGCACTGTCAGCTGCTGCTGCACTGTCAGCTGCTGCTGCACTGTCAGCTGCTGCTGCTGCTGCTGCTGTAGCACTGTCAGCTGCTGCTGTAGCACTGTCAGCTGCTGCTGCTGCTGTATCGTCAGCTGCTGCTGCTGTAGCACCGTTGTTGGTGTGGCTTATTGAGAATACCAAGAAACAATTAACCCCAGAGGGATAGCCACCCAGGATAACCCAAAAAAGTCAGTGTCATCGAAGACTGTCTAACTTATTTCCATTGGGGTCCTTAATCTTGTCTCCCAGGATGCAACCCACCCCAGTCGACTAACATCCAGGTGAACAGGGAAAAATGCCTGGAACTAGTGCTCATATTGGTGAATTTAAAGCCAGCAAAGGTTGGTTTGAGAGATTTAAGAATCGTAGTGGCATACACAGTGTGATAAGGCCTGTTCTGGAAGAAAATGCCAAACAGGACCTACAGTACTCAGGAGGAAAAGGCACTCCCAGGACACAGTGTCTCATCAGTCATTGCTGCATCTTCAATAAAGGTAAGTGTCATTTATTCTTCATTTAGTAGAGTAGTACATGCACAATATATACTGTGCATGTACTACTCTACTATTGTGCATGTATCCTTCTCTTTGTGTGTAGGAAAATGTATATTTCATGTGGTAAAAAAAAAAATTTCATACTTTTGGGTGTCTTGCACGGATTAATTTGATTTCCATTATTTCTTATGGGGAAAATTCATTCGCATAACGATAATTTCGCATAACAATGAGCTCTCATGAACAGATTAATATCGTTATGCGGAGGTCCACTGTACTTATATAACCGTTACAAAAAAAAAATTTTTTGTTAATATTTTTGTCTGGGACGGATTAATTGTATTTCCATTAATTCTCGTAGGAAATATTATTTCGGTTTTCAGCCATTTCAGTCTTAGGCCGAGCTTCTGGAACGGACTACAGCCGACAACCGAGGGTCCACTGTATAACGTAAAAGATTTTTACTGACTGGAAACCAAAATCCAATCATTGGTGTTTGCTTTCAAGTTCATAATCCACTTGCTGGTCCTTTGCCAGTATCTGCACAATAAATCTTGTCTGTAAGACAAGCCATAAGTTTAAAGGGGCTTCCCTCCTATTTTCCATTTATTCATCAGTTTACCATAATGAAATCCAACAAATTTCCAGAGGGATACAATATTGCACAAGTGTATGTATAGTGACAGGGGTTTGAATCTGAAAACTGTATCAACAGAACTGAAATCTCACTTTCTACCAGCCTTGGCTGTGACCTTTCATACAGTACTTAGTAACTTACATTAACTCTGGCATATGTTCCTGCCATACAAATAGCCACACATACATCTCTACCCTGTATCTAATTTCTTTTACAAATGAAATGTATTTTGGATATGTAAAAAAAAAAAATATACAATAAGTTTATACTTAAAAAAAAAAATTAACAATATTATAAATGAATTTTGAAGAGTATGCCAGAATTTTTCTCACTATACTCATGGAGAAGTATAAAACTCAAGAGAGTTACACAGCACCTAGAAAATAGGTTAAGTCTGATCCAAAGAATTTGAGGGTAGCTCTAATTCCTCAGATCTTGAGCCCCTTCACCAGGCTCAAAGCACTCCCTTCAAGGGAGAACACACCATAGTAATTCAGGTATAGACAGTAGACCACTGGAAAAAATATATGTACCATGATAGAAAAGAAATTATCTTGATGCACGAGTTCTTTTTGTGACAATTTTTACAAGCTATCACAAAAGACAATAAGAACTATATTACTAACCAAAACACAATAAATTAACGAAATTCAAAGTGAAGAGAATTCTTTCAGATCTCAGGCCACTACTTAACAAAACTCTACTTTATCATTCTCACCGTCTGGCTCAGAGCTTGGAAGACAGTTCCCAAGGGCTTGTCCACAACCTACAAAAGCAGCATGTGGAAAAGGTTGGAATTAAACTTTCTGACACACTGTGCATCACAAAAAGTTTTCAAGGTTTCTATTACTCTCATTACCATGCACATACAAATATATAGCATAATGAAGAAGTAACAAAGTAGCAGTTTTTAGTTGGACAAAATTCTCTATACACAAAGTTCAAAATGTGAAGGAACATGCACACAAATTTCTTGAATATTGAATAGTTATCATAACTTTGCAATAAAACAACTCTGCATTTTAGTTTCTCTAATAAAAAGAAGATCAAACTAAAGCACAAAAAACTACACACAAAACATGAGTGAATCCTAGGGCAGATACTCAGGTTCAGAAAGCATGAGTGTAGCCTGCCAGACCTCGCCCTACAACTGCCTAAACCACTAGCAATTTGCTCAAGAAAAAAAAAAGAAAAAAGCAGCAGCAGCAGAGAAGTGAGAGAAAGGATATTTTATTATTTCTAATTTCATAATATAGTTCCCACATTCTTTCATAAACCATAATTTTTTAGCAATTAATTTACCATCTCATAATAATAATTATTTGGGATTTTATTGTTCATGAGTGCCTTATCTTTCAAGAAATTCCTAAGTGCTTGTAAACCAATCCATAAATGCTACAACAGTGATGAAAAAATATTTAAGTTTACATTCAAGAGTGACAGTATGATGACCAAGATCATAAGCCCTAAGAAAGAGATGCTTTCAAGTGCTTTCAACCGAGATTTGAAATCACGAACAGATTCCCGACTCTTAACAGACACTAGCAATCCGCTGAACAATCTAGGAGCTACGCAAGAGCTTCTTTCCATGAATTTGTCCCCTACAGCATGAGGCAAGGGCCAAGTCATACATCAAGAACCTTAGTGATCATAGGACAGCACTTACTAGTCATGGCCACAAACATATGAAGCTTTCCTAAACAGTTAAAACACAGTCCAATGCATCCACTTTGCCCAAGGCATTTCTCTCTATCACATTAGCCTGGTCCAAATCAAGGTTTCTATAATTATGGAAAGAATGTGCTCACAAGGCAGTAGCACAAAAATATCAATACTAAAAGTAACGACACTGATAGAGTACAGTAATACGTATTGAGAAGTATTAGCTCAACATCTTCAAATGCTCTGAGAATTGGAGGTAAACAGAACCTAGTCCAATATATAGCCTCCGATGAAGGCAAGTGATAATACATCATCAAAATTATTCAAATAAATTAGCTCCAGTAACTCTCATGCAAAGAGCTTCTGTTGTGGACAATCAATTTAGTAGTGAGTCACAACACACAAGTTGATGACCACTCTTCCTTGCAAAGGACTCAATAAGAAAACAAAATTCATCAAGAAATAAGGAATCTGTGGCAAGACAATAGTATACAACTATCAGTCTCACAATGTGCTGATGATAATTTCCTGCTACGTCTATTATCTCAAATGACAATAGGTTAACCAACTGGTATATGATGAATACTTAAAAAAATGAGGAATAAATAATTGCAACTTTACCAACCCAATTATTATTATTATTATTATTATTATTATTATTATTATTATAATCAAAAAGAAGCGCTAAACCACAAGGGCTATACAGCACTGCAGGGCAGGAAGGAAGCAAGGGTATCAGGTGGCAAAAGGGAGAGGGACGAGTAGTAGGTTACGGAGAACAGCGGGGCAGTGGATAGCGAAAGGGTAGAGGGCAGCAAAAGATTGAGGTAGAAAGGGCTGAGGGGAGTGCAAAAGGTATCATCATCAGAGTTTGTGGAGTAAATCAGTCGTTGTCAAGAAGTCAATGAGTCAGGATTAAAGGAGGGTCCATCAGCAAGAAGGGAAGGTAAAGAAAGAGTAGAAGAGCGGAGACGGCGTTGGAGGTAAATTCTGCATGCTCGTTGATAGAGAGGGCAGTCTAGCAGAATGTGGCTAACCGATACTGGAACCTGACACTTCTCACAGAGAGGAACAGGGCGCCTTTCCATGAGATACCCATGAGTAAGACGAGTGTGGCCAATGTGAAGATGGGAGAGAGTAGTCTCCCAACCTCGACATTGATGACAAGATGACGGCCAGTTACCTATACTCGGTTTAATAGACTGAAGTTTGTTACCAAGCAGATTAGACCAACATTGTTGCCAATGGGTGTGAAGGTGGGTAGCTATTACAGCAAAATAGTCCATAAATGGAACACCTCTATATGAAACTGGTAGGTCATGTACTGCTTGCGGAGATCATGAGAGCGTACATAGTAACGAAGGCAATGGACATCACGGCGATCGGACAAGGATGGAACATTCGCTTCCATATAGAGGCTCTCAACAGGGCAAGAGCAAAAGGCACAAAGGCATAAACATAATCCTTGGTGATGGATGGGGTTAAGGCTGGAGAGAGTAGCAGGAGAGGCCGCTGAATAGATCTGGTCACCATAATCAAGTTTCGACAAAATGTGGGCTGAATGTAGGCGAAGGAGAGTTCGACGATCAGCTCCCCATGAAAGATGAGCAAGGGTTTTAAGAAGGTTTGGCTGGCTGTGACAAGTTGCCTTCAGAGAGGTAATGTGAGGTTTTCAGGATAACCTACGGTCAAAGAGAAGGCCTAGAAACCTGACTGTATCACGTTCAGGGATACGGGAGCCATAGAGGTACAAAGGATGATCGGAGATGACAGAGCATCTAGTGAAAATAATTTGATGAGTTTTGGTACTGGAAAATTTAAACCCATGCGTGGAAACACGGTCGACCGCATGCTGGAGAGAAACTGTAATGAGGCGACAGTCAGCACCTGCACAAGCAATGGCGAAGTCATCAATATAGAGGGATGACCAAATATTGGATGGAAGACTCGAGGCCAGATCATTAATAGCAAGGAGAAAAAGTGTTGTGCTCAGAACACATCCCTGGGGCACACCTTCAGCTTGGACAAAGTCCGGGGAGAGCATATTATTAACCCGAACACGGAAATGTCTGTCAGTTAAAAAGTTCTTAAGGAAGGATGGTAGATTGCCTCGGAGGCCTAAGGAGTGGGCTTGGGCCAAAATATTATACCTCCAAGTTGTGTCATATGCCTTCTCAAGGTCAAAAAATATGGCAATAACCAAGCGGTTATTCGCAAAGGCATTACGAACATACGTATCCAAGCGTAGTAAGGGGTCTATGGTAGAACGGCCCTTACGAAAGCTAAATCGACTAGTGGAGAGACTGTTGTCTCTCTAAATACCACATTAAACGTCGATTTACCAGACGTTCCACCACTTTGCAAACTGCACTGGTAAGAGCAATGGGATGATAGTGGGAGGCATCATGTCCCGTAGTACCCAGTTTGCGGAAAGGGAGAACAATGGCAGATTTCCACAGCTGGGGAAGAACTCCTTGTGACCAAATAAGATTGAAGAGGTGTAAAAGGACTGCAAGGGCTGACTGATTTAAATGTTGTAACATCCGAATATGAATGTTGTCAGACCCAGCTGCCGACGATCAGCAAGCTGAGAGTCTTGCCTCCAGTTCCTGAAGTGTAAAAGGCACATTAGTATACTGTTCTTCTCTGAGAGAAGAAAAGTCCAAGGGTGCTAACTCTCTGGCAGACTTTGAGGCAAGAAATGAGGGGCATAGACGGAGCCCCCAAGAAATACGGACCAGATGAGTGCCAATTTCAATGGCAACGTCAAGAGGGTTTGCTATATCAACACCCGTGACCCGTAGAACAGGAGCCGGGTCAGGAGAGTACTTACCACTCAATTTCCTCGCTTTTTCCAGACTTGCACTCATAGAGGAAGCAGAGGTGATGGTGGAAACACAATCTCGCCAGCAAGAGCATTTAGCATCACGGATGACACGGCGAGCGACCACACGTTTCTGCTTAAAATCAAGAAATCTCACCAGTTCTATTGTACCGGTACCTGCCCCATGCAGCGCGTTTCAAACGTACTGCACGAGCACAAGCAGGAGACCACCAAGGCACGCACTTCTGAGAATGCCTGCCTGAGGTTTGGGGTATAGAATGAGAAGCTGCGGTTAAAACTGACATCAAGAAGAGGTGTAGGAGCTCATCAATGGAGGATGAAGAAGGAACCTCACTAAAAGCAGTGAGTTGCGAGTAAAGGTCCCAATTTGCCTGATCAAATTGCCAGCGAGGGCTTTGGAGAGGTGGTGAATATGAAAGAGAAGTAAGAACGATTGGAAAATGATCACTGTCATGTAAGTCCGTTAGAACAGACCAGGCAAAGTCTAGTGCAGTGGAGGAAGAGCAGACCGATAGATCAATGCAAGAGAGAGTATGAGTACGAGGATCAAAATGGGTAGGAGTACCCGTATTTAAAACATGGAGGGGGTGAGAGGTGAGAAAATCCTCCAACTGAATGCCACATGAGTCACAATGAACCCTCCTCAGAGGAAATGGTGGGCATTAAAATCGGCAAGTAACAGAAGTGGCGGTGGTAAGGATGAAACAAGAAAGGCAAAATCTGGGATAGATAATGCCCGAGAAGGAGAGAGATACAAAAAACATATGGTAAACCACTTATTCAAGTGGATGCGGGCTGCAGTGTAATGCAGCGAGGTATGAACAAATAGTGGACGGTACGGAAAATCATTGCGTAGAAGAAGGGCACTTTCATCAAAGGTTCCATCAGAAGAAGGATCCGAAGAATACAATAAATTATAGCCCGAGATGGGTTGGAAAACAGCTGAGTGTAATTTTGGTTCTTGTAAGCAAACACCAACAGGAAAAACCGGCAAAGCAGCATCTGAAGCTCACCCTGATTACCCGAGGCCGCGGATATTCCACTGTAAATAGGCCATGATTGGCAACGAGGAAAATATCAGGAATCCGCAGGTAACGGCACCTACGGATTAGAGGGGGTTAGAAAAGTCTATGTGCGGTGACATAGGAAGATGTTTAAGCAGCGAAGGAATGGAGCGTTGCGAAGAAAGTTGTGGAGATGGAGGGGAGGGAGGAGAAGGAACAGGAGGTGGGTCAGTGTCCATTGAAGGTTTAGTCTCT